CACATGTGGAAGTATATTGCGACAAGAAAAACTTTATACGTTTTGAAGTTATTAATTTTTAAAATGGGTCAGATAATTTATGAACACCCTGTATATCATATCTCACAAACACTTTTTTATATATTATGTATATATATATATATGTGTGTGTGTGTGTATGTATGTATGTATGTATGTATATATATAAAAGTTCCTGGTATGTTTGTTTGTTTGGTTTGTTTTGAATTTCACGGCCATCTGTGCTAGCTATCTCTAATTTAGCAGTGATAGACTAGAGGGAAGTCAGATACTTAACACTACCCGTTGCCAACTTTTAGGCTACTCTTTTACTAACGAATAGTGGGATTGACCGTCGCATTATAACGCCCTGAAAGTGCGAGCATGTTCGGTGATGGGGATTCGAACGCGCGACCCACAGATTGGGAATCGAGCACCCTAACCATCAGGATCCTGGTATGTGCTCTTTATCTAATGGAGTTATGTTTAATGTGCTATTCTGAGGGAGAATATGTTGTATCAGTGAATAATTACTAACTATTTATGTTATAAAAATTAGCACAGTTGCATAGGCGCAATTTAAAGGGGGATGGGATGGACATGTTACACCCACTTTTTGAAGTGTGGCAAATCATGACCCACTTTGTGAAAGACGGAGATATATTATCTTTCGGCTTAACTATTTTTTTTTCTCAGATATTTTTACGTAAAATCATGATAAACGAAGTCTGAACTAGGACCATACGGATATTTACATAATATTACAGCTGCATCAGCCTTGTTGCAGCTTGCGTGCAATGTTTGAAACAGAGACAGGTAGTTGGTCACTGACAGCTAAAGAAGAAGCAGCAGCAAGAATCGTCCGTCTAGCGAGCTAAATGCATGGTTTTGAAATACCGGTAAAGAGTTAGATGTAACCAAATAAACTTATTATTCTTTCTTGAACTTTGGAAAGTCTTACGCCTCGAATGATATTATAGGTAATCTACCAAAATGGAACGAATATGTGAAGCACAATGAAAGGACGAATCAAAATGTATATGCAACAAGGAACTCAGGCAAACTAAGTACTTAAAAGAATAGGTGAAATTGTTTAGTATTAAGACTAAACAGTTACCAAGCTTTTACACTCATAGATGTTGTAAATCTTCATGAAACTAACAAAAGAATTAATAAAATAACAACAGCTGTTTGTTTTCTATTTTGGTGAGTTAGGAGCTCGTGCTAGCTGTTTTATGAAAGAACAGGTAGTACATTAAATATCTCATACTCTCCAAAAGGACCCTTCATTTATTTGATTTTTCGTTTCTGTACAAAAAGTGTAGGTTTAGGTAGCAATGTGTTCTATGATTTTTTAGCTGCATGTATAATTATTCTCGTTTAATAAATTTACTCTATATATGTAAATATCCCTTTTTCGCCATTATAAAATCTTAAGGAGATTCAACGTGGAAATTCGTGGTTAATATCTATAAGTTACAGATTATGAAAGCAGAAATGGGTATATAAATGGTTACGTTATAGATATCAAAACCTTTTCACTGAGCCACTAAAACAGTGTTAAATGGACCAAGAGTTAGTCATATTAGCAAGTAAATGTGTATTTTTGGTTTACCGAAGTTACCAACAATGTCAAAAGTAGCAAATATGAATAAAAATGACATAAGGCATTTTTACCAGGCAAAGTAATGCACTGTAAATGTTGATTGAATTATTTTGGACAAGATAAACACGTAATCACAGCCATAAATATCAGACCATTATAATCCCTTTTAAAAGTATTAAATATAGTGGATAATTGTGGTTAGGACACATAATAAAACTTTCTTTCTATACCAGTTCTTACTTTAGAGTCTGTAAACACATTTCATGATAAGACCTTATTTGACCTAGATAGCAACATCTTAATTTCAAACAGTTTGTATCACCATTTTAAAAAGTATCTCGCTAGAATTGTATTTCTCATCTTATCGTTATTATTATTAATTATATTATTGCCACTATTATTATTTCATTCAGTTTTACACGCCTATATGTAAAGTGAGACTCAAAGTTTTAAGGTCCCTTAGAAAGAAGGGGTAAGTGGGTTAATGTGGTACCGGAGTTTGGTATTTTTCTGTCATGTTTATTGTAGGAGGAGCAGGAGCAGCAGACGGGTGTAAGCAGCAATGCCACAGAAATAAAAATTAAAAAAATATGCATACGGGGAGGCTAGTGATGAGGAGAGAGAATTATCAACTGAGCATCAACATCTGCCCAGCACAGAAGCATTTGGGGTAGAAGCCACAAATTCGGAGGGTCGGAAAGAGATATCCTTGGAAATACCCCACATCAGCCAAACCCAAGGTTCGTTTAGACCAAAAGTTGACAAATAGGACTTTCCATTTCCTGGCTCTACTATAGCGCTTGTTTGAAAAAGGTATCATGCTTTTTTGCACAAAAGCTTTCACAAGCAAAAAGTCACTGTTTGCCCAAAATTCAAACCCTGCATTTATATCCTCAGGATTTGGAAATTGGAATATAGCTCTAGACAGGTTCGCATACCATGCTGATTGTCAATCGTATAAGGTAGTGGTGATAACTCCTTCTCAAGAGATAAGACCAGAAGACACCTAGTTCTCTAGTGTTTTGGTGTCACAGCAACAAGAGACCAAGTCTTCCTTGTTGAAGACTGTAAGCACAGTGCAGTTTTTGGCACGGCAAGAGTTGGCTTTTAGAGGTCATTAGTAAAAGGAAGAGAATCTAAGCCAACTGCTGAAGTTGAGGATGCTTCGAACTTCTGTCAATATTATACCTGCCCTAGAATTCAAAGTGAGATCCTGAATTTAATGGGCAACTAACTCCATTGTGAGAGATATTGCAAAGCAAATCATTTCTCTGCCACTGCTGCAATATTCAGTGATCATTGATGGAACACAAAATATATCTGGCACTGAACAACAGTCAATCTCCCTCCGCTAGAATCTGATGCCACATAAAAAATATATAGGTCTCTCTGAAATGTCTTCAACAACTGCAGAAATAATATTCAAGGTTGCCACTGATGTCTTGCTGTGTCTTAATCTGTCCCTTTCTGGTCTTCTGAGCAAACATACGACATATGTCGGGCCAATACTCTGGTGCATAAGCTTTTCTTATGAAAGAACAGCTACTAGTTTTTATGTCCATTATTGTCCTGAATATGTAAATCTCAATACTCAGGCAGTTTGTACAGCCTCCCCTGTGATTAGGGATTCTTTGCAATGGATTCACGAGTTGGGACGCTTGTTTGAACAATTGAGGAAATTTAAGGTGATGTCCAGGACAATAGCAAAGTCTGAGAGTGCATCATACACTACTTTGAAATTGTTGTGTCCCACAAGATGGACTATTTTTATCCCAATTACTTGGTCTGTGCTTGAACATCTCTTTGCAAAACAAAAAAGAAAACACACACACACACACATAAATTGTTGTTGGAATGCTTGCTGTAGTGGAGTGTGTCAAAACCTCTTTTCAAGAAGAAAGAACAGAGGATAGCTTTAGCAGAACATACGATAAAGCAACTACTTGAATATCCAGCCAATTCAAATGTCACACATGAGAAAACCACCGAAGCTTTTTACTGGCGAGGCTGTTGAACATGCGCCAACATCTTCTTTGGACTATTACAGACCTCAGTGCTACAAGCTGCTAGACACTGTAGATGTGCAGTTCAGAGAGCTTTTCGACCAGAGAAGCCTGTAGACTCTTGAAAAATTGAAGAAAGTTCTCCTCACTGGAGAGACTGACAATGTTGTGTACCAATACCAAGAGTTGAACAGAAAGTTGCTACATGTTCATCTCAAAACACACTTAAATTCCAGCACTGAAAGCAGCAAAAATCTTAAGGGACATGCTGCTTGAGGTTTGTAGCCTTTTTGATCAGATTGAGGCCCTTGTGAAGTTGCTGTTACTTGTCATTGCCTTCTCTGTTGAAGCTGAGAGGAGTTTTAGTGATCTTAAAAAACCGAAGACCTGGATCCATAATTCTATGAAGCAAAGTCACTTGAACAATGTAGCTGGTTGCGACGTTCATCTCGTACAACTTACCGTATTTTTCGGAATATAAAACGCATCTTTTTACCTCAAAATTTGATGTCAAAATCTACTTGCGTCCTATACACCG